GCTCTCTGGCAGCAATCAAACAAGCTTCTCACAGCAAACCACTTATCCAAGTTGGTTTCTCTGAATCATGAATGTGAACGAGAACGTTGACTCCTGCAACCAGGGCGTGGCACAAACAGTCTTATATTCAGGAGAGGATCTTAATCAGCATCAGCTAAGCACAATCATCTCCTACAATTACGCAGTTGTTCCTTCCATCGAGTAGCCATTTGCCTGCATGCATCCTGAAACAACTCCCAAATGTTTTTCTGAACATTCCCTTTGATCCAATGCTCTGCCGCCGCCTGATGGCCCACCAGTCTCTCCTCGCCCTGCTCGGAGTCAACACCTTGTCCAGGGTCCTCCAAGGCCGACTCATAAGACCCCTCGCTGTCAGAGTCTGGCGGCAGCTCCAATGGCTCCTGCCGGGCCACAACACTACTATTGAAATAGAAGTCCTAAGATGTGTCTAGCTAAAACAGTGCATGTAATACTGAGAAATTTCTGATGGCTGGTCATTTCGTTAACCAATTTCATTGTATTTAAGTACAATGGCAATAAAGATTATACTTATACTAATTTATAGCGTGCTAGAAGTGAGGCATTGTTTAATGTGCCACTAGTATCAACGTACTGAAAATCACATTTACTTTTTGTCCTGTTTCCTCCCACAACTTTTCTTACTGTATCCACTGTTTTACCATTTTAATCTTTTACAGCCGTCTCCAAATCACATGTCCCGGGAGATGCAAACTGTAACTGCCAGAATTCTCAGTATGGCCATGACAGGTAGAGAATTCTGAGAGTTGACATTCATGCACCTGGAAGGCACCAAAGCTGGGGGAATCTGTCCCGAGCAATTAGGCAATTTACTATCATCTATCATAAGTCTTTTGTATTTTAGATTTTAAATAAATGAGTTCAGCTCCCAATGTCCCTAACCTTACTGGTATGCTCATAAAGCTTTTATACATTCCCTTAGTCTATGCATAGGCAAGGTCTTTATACACACTCTCTTAAACATTCCACATCAATAGATTATGCTTTCACAAATGAATTATTCAATTTGCAGAGCACTTGTTTGTTTCTGATATGTCATGTACATGTTTTCTGTGATCAGGTAAATAAGAACAATGCCAAACTCTGGAATAATGTGGGTCATGCTTTAGAAAATGAAAAGAACTTTGAAAGAGCATTGAATTTCTTCATACAGGCCACCCAAGTGCAGCCAGGTGAGTTGTAAAAAAGAGCTAGCATGAAAGGCAATAATATGAGAAAACTCTTTGCATAATATTTTCCCCATGACCAGGAAAGTCTTTGCCTAGCATGAGTTGGCATAATTAGCTACTGCATCTTGGACCAGAAAGCTTTAATAGCTCATGCCCCATGCATTTTACTATTGCAGTGCTCCCTCTGAGGTTCTGCCTTTGAAGACAACTCCGTAATCAACACAGATATAGGAGGTTTACAGGATATCTTTACAGGATAATTATTTTATGTTTCATACACTAGGCTGCATTGGGGATCACTTTAACCATGTGTTCTGTCCTATCTGCAAGACCATTGGGAGAGGGGTTTTTTCTTCTTCTTGCCAATGCAAGAAGTGAAAGGACCATAGTCCAGAAGGACAAGCAATCTCTTTGGTTGCTCCAGCATTGTAGAACTTGTTGCCTGCAGAGATAAAGCTGTTCCCATTCTTGGCACTCCAGAAAGTCCTGGAAATTCCTCTTTTTAAGCAGGAATTTGTTCTGAGCTAATATGACAATTGGCTCCTCTTAGGAAGGTTATTTTGGTCTGAAAATATTGAATTTTACCATGAAATGTTAGTTTATGTTTTTCAACTACTCAGGGTGATTTATTGGAGTAATACATAAATTGTGTAAGTGAAATAACCGTTAGTGTGAAATCTTAAAAATGTACATAATTTTATAATTTATATAAGTATGGAAAATTTGCTGGTGTCCTGATTCCTTAAGTGTAATGTTTTAAAAAACTGTTTAAAGAAATTTCCTGCTCCATCTAGCTATTGTTAAGTTGCATATTAATCTTCCATGGCTGAATTTCCTAAAGGAAAGCTGTGTAATTCAGGGACAGAGCACATGTTTTACGTGCAAAAAGTTTCATGCTCAGTCCTTAACAAGGCTTTACAGAAAAGACCTCTGCATGAGATTCTAGGAACATTGTATTTATCAAAGTAGCCTGTGCTTAGGAGGCAATGTACATCCCTCAAATTTATGCCAGATTGTAATCCCTCAACATTGCGATACTGGCCTAGCCTGACAGAATCCAGAGGTATCTTAAAAGCATCCTTTCCCCGCCTCTGAATTAAACAGCCAAGTGGCCTAAGCAAAGATAGAGCAATCATATATATATTTTTAAATGGGTACAATGTGTGTGTGTTCTCCGCTTGGAACATTACAAAATGCTTCTGGTTTTGAATTAATTATCAAATGAATTTCTTGAGACTAGCTTAACAAAATCGTACAACATATGTCATATCAGTCACGCTTTAGATAGAAAGAAGTGGAGGCAGGGAGGATTCAATATTTATTTGATTTCTAGTTTAAAATTGTTGTGACTGAGGCTGGAATTTTAGAGGGAAAGGAAGTACTGAAGGTTTTTCTTTATCTTGCAATTTTGAAGATGATATTGGCGCCCATATGAATGTAGGAAGAACTTACAAAAATTTAAACAGAACCAGAGAAGCAGAAGAATCCTATTTAGTTGCAAAATCATTGATGCCACAGGTAAGTGGAGTACACTGTTTATTTGAGAAGTTTCATTAATTTTTTTTAGCAAAAGGTGTTGGAACACAGGAAGTCTTCTTTTTTACTTTGCTGGAAATTTTAGCAATCAGTCTAATTCAGCCTTTTTCTTGTCTGTATTTTTGTAATAATTATAATATTTAATTTTTTTTTAAAAAATAAAAATATTGTAGGTTATTAATTGTCTGCAGTTGTATCTCAGCCTGCCTCTGTAGTAGAACAGTGTATTCTCAATTCAAATAAAAGTTGTACTTAGTTTAAAGTAATTACAATTTAGGCCTTTGATTTTAAAACTACAGTCTTTGACACTGTTACAACTTTCATTGTGTTATAGTTCTGATAAATTTATGGTTAATGCTCCTCCAAGCCTAATATAATTTCTTCTGCTGTCAGATTATTCCAGGTAAAAAATATGCTGCGCGTGTCGCTCCTAACCATCTGAATGTTTACATAAACCTTGCAAACCTGATTCGGACAAATGAGTCTCGTCTTGAAGAAGCAGACCAATTGTATCGTCAAGCCATTAGCATGAGGCCAGATTTCAAACAGGCCTACATTAGCAGGTACTTTATAATCTTATATTCATAACGAAATGCCAAATGTGAGTAGGCAGCTTTACTGTCTGAAACAACTGCTGTTTTAGTAGCAAGATAATGGAATGAATGGAAATCACATAATTTAAAGTTCTGATTCTTAACAGGGGTGAACTACTTCTGAAGATGAATAAACCCCTGCAAGCTAAAGAAGCTTACCTAAGGGCTCTTGAATTGGATCGAAGCAATGCAGACCTATGGTACAACTTGGCAATTGTTTATATTGAACTGAAAGATCCCTCTGAAGCTTTGAAAAACTTCAATCAAGCATTAGAACTGAATCCTAGTCACAAACTAGCCTTGTTCAATTCTGCACTATTGATGCAAGAATCTGGTATGTATACCTAGAACATTAAAGCAACATTTTAAAAGTTGTATTATGTTTTATTATCGTTTATTAACATGCTCTATGGGGAAGAAATACCGGGGGGGGGGGGGACGGATCAGGAAAAAAAATGCATGACGAACTCCAAAAACAAAACAACATGAATTATATATGTCACATAATAACAAAATTTCGAACCAAAGTTAGTAATAATCAATGACTCTCTAGCATGATCAAATCACAAAATGACATGAAATATCAATAAATTTATGCCATAGAAAAACAGTTATTTTTTAATGAATAGTCAGGATTGCTTTTTCAAAAAAAAAGGGTAAGTTACATAATTCTAGAATACAATCCTCTCTCAGAGTACAAACCATAAGCAAGTTAAATATTTCCCTTTCAGGATGGATTGTCTAAAGTTTTAGCTTTGAAGAATAGATTTGCAGAACTGAGTTCAATTTTATTTACAGTTTTCCCTCTTAAGTCAGATTCTAGCTTATAAGTACTTCTTACAATTAAACAAAAGACTGTGTCCTTGCATTGTGAATTGTGTCTTCAGTGCTTTTTCTACAATGATTGAATATGATTTTTGGTGCAGTGGTTAAGGTACTGAATAGATACCTACGAGATGCAGCTTCAAGGCCACATCTTGTCATGGAAAATCACTGTCTTCCAGCTCAATTTACCCTATAGGGTTGCTGTTACAGGAAAAAGTAGGAAGGAGGAAGTAGTATATATTTCACTTTGAGTTCTGGAGGAAAGGTGAGATTTAACCCTAATAGGTTTTTTTTTAATGTTACATTCCAACAGGGGAATACAAACAAGATTTGAAGCAAGAAATTGTAATAATTTTAAAAGCCTTGGGATGGAATCAGTGTAGTAATTTCCCTGGGCCCCACCCAATTATTTTTCAATATTTGAAAGGATCAGTTGTTCTTTTCCATTCAAATCAATGAAATTAATCAATTGAAATCCCAAAAATTATATAGGCATTCCAAATCCTTTACCTTAGTTGGACAAAAAAATTACTGTAATGATGTTGGGAGAAAAAAGTGGGTATATAATACGCTTCCCATGGATCCTTCAGACTATAAGAAATATCAAATTGTAAAATTATAGTATCATGAATCTAAATCCACAAGCATAAGTAATAAAGACTGTCGATATTGTCCTATTTATACAGCCTTGGATAGTCCATATTAATGTTCATTTGTTGCTTTAGGTGAGGCCAGCCTTAGGCCTGAAGCTAAAAAGAGACTTCTAAGTTATATAAAAGAAGAATCGCAAGATGCTAATGGTTATTTTAACTTAGGCATGCTTGCAATGGATGATAAAAAAGATGATGAAGCTGAGATGTGGATGAAAAAAGCCATAAAACTACTTCCAGGCTTCCGCAGTGCTTTGTTCAACTTGGCCTTGCTTTACTCTCAGACTGCAAAAGAGCTGAAAGCTTTACCCGTGCTGGAGGAATTGCTGAGGTACTACCCAGATCATACCAAAGGTTTGATTTTGAAGGGAGACATTTTGATGAACCAGAAGAAAGATATACAGGGAGCAAAACAATGTTTTGAGAAAATTCTGAAAATGGACCCAAACAATGTACAAGGAAAACACAACCTCTGTGTGGTTTACTTTGAAGAACGAGACTTACTAAAGGCAGAAAAATGCTTAGTGGAAACACTGGCCTTAGCCCCACATGAGGAATACATTCAACGCCATTTAAGCATTGTTCGAAGTAAAATTGGTTCCCTCAGACCAGGGGAGGCAAGTGTGACTCATACGGAAAAAGTAACATCTATGGAAGAAAAAAAAACTCCGTCTGAACACTTGAAAGAAGTAAAAAATGAGCAAAAAAACCCTCAGACTACAAACTCTAATGGCAGCAAGGAGCAGAGGAAATCCAAAAAACATGGAAATAAAAACTCTACAGACAAAGAGACAAAAAAGAAATCAACAAAGGAAATAAAAGAGATAGAAAAAAAAAGAGTTGCTGCACTGAAAAGACTGGAAGAGATTGAACGTATATTAAATGGTGACTAATTACTTGGAGCACCACTGTAAGGGAAACTGGCATCTATTTTGCAGATTTTACATGTGCGTTGCATGTGTTTTCAAAGTGATCACAGGGTGCTTTTGAATTTGGAAAGTATATTGAAATGTTAACTAAAATTGAAGAAGCTGCAAAATGAATAGGAAAAGCCATGACTTTTAATCAAGGATGCTTGGTTAAGGAGTTGCACATAACTAACATACAAGGACTTTTCCAGCAATGGAAGCTATGTTCTAATATTGCTGATTAGAAGAATAGCTTATTACTCCAGAAACAAATCTCACTAAACTCCTTATTTGAAAGCAAGCATGTTAGAGCTTGGCTGCAAAATACTTGCAACCAACTATGCTCAGTTCTTTCTGTTCTCAAAGAACGGTTAAAATACTGATAGATAGATAAATATTAAAGAGAGCCTCAGGTATGTTGGTCACCAGACTAATTTTACTAGAGAAATCCATTGATCTGAGTATTTAAGCATTACAAATTAATTTGTATGACTATGATTTTACTTCACACGTCAATTTTTTTTCTATGTAAATGTATGTGGCACATTCCCATTTTGTCTTCCTGCTTTCCTATAAGTATTAATGTTCCAGAATGCATTGGGAATTAATTAGCAAATACCACTTGTGTTTTTGTATGTGCATGCATGCATTTGATGTTTTTTTTTAAAAACTTTAATAAATCACTCTATAAGTACAGTGATTTTCTCTTATCATGGGGACAAGCAGGAATAGTCATACTCAAAAGATATCCCTATCAAAAAGCTTTCTCCTGTTGTTGTTGGGTTTTTTGGTGTTTTTTTTTTGTTATCATCACCATCCTGTGATGCTTCTAATATAGGGAAAATGTAACTGTTTCTGAACTGTCATCTAGTTTTTAAGAAATCAATGCAAAACTTATGGAATCATTTCTAAGGCGGTGGATTTTTTTTAACCTCTTTTAAGGTTGAATACAACATCTCACAATATAAACCAGGTAACTTTTTAAGCTCTTCAATGATTAAATTGCCTTCCTGTGATAATGCATTATAAGGAATGGCAAACCATTCAGTTTTATTTGCAATTATAGTATCGTGTTTCCCTGAAAATAAGACCTCCCCAGATAATAACCCAATCAGGCTTTGAGTGCATGCGAACTTCCGCCCCTCTCTTGATCAGCTGGTCTGTGGAATGAGGTTAAGGGGCCTCCTGCACCTCAAAAATAATAAGACCTCCCTGAAAATAAGACCAAGGGCTTATTTCAGGGGTCAAAAGAAAATAAGACGCTGTTTTATTTTCAGGGAAACACAGTAATTATGTTTTAATATGGAAAATGTAGACCTGTACTACATAATATCAATCACCAACTGCTTAGGTGACTTCTATGGAGACTGAGGTTGAAAAGAAAGAACAGAATGTTTCAGCTCCTTGGCAAAATGCAGGATATATCTTAAATTAATAAAATCCTTTGCAACAAAAAAACCATGTTTGACATGGTCCCAGGATCTTAAGGTACACCTGCAAAAGACTCCTGGGGAAAAAGTTTTATTCATGGTATGAGAAAGCTAAAGAACTGATCTGACATGGTATAAGACAACTTCTTATGTTCCTGCTTGGAGAAACAAAACAGGTATACAAACAAAATTAAAATAAGATAGGGTGAAAAAAATGTCTCTTGGCTAATAAGGAATTTCTTACAATTAGAATTGTAGGGACTGAGTCAATAACATATGGCAACTCCAAAGAAAGCCTTGAGGTAAATAAGTCTTTAGATGTCTCAGCAAGCTACTAGCTGGAGGTGTACTTCCCCTCCCCCATCATCATGTTATACATGATAGATTGTCATGTGACAATCATACTTGTGACTTACACAAAGATTACTTATTGCATTAAACCTTTGTTCAGAATTTGTTTTCAGCTTGAAAGTTTCTGGTATAATTCCAAAAATGATTTTCTGTTTTCATTGAGGAAATTTGGGCATTACAATTAAATGCTTGTTTTGCTAAATTTCCTATGATTTTCATTAACAGCTTTATTAGGATAAGATAACTAAATCTCTTATGTGAAACTTGAACTCGTCATTTTTATATCTGTGGTTATATATTCTTCCTCAGTTTGTCTCTGGATTACCCAAGAGAGTATTAGTTTTTAGTTTTTTTAATCTTTTTTTTTTTCAAATATGTTAACTCCATGGATGTTGAAGAAATGTTTACATGAGCAAACTTACTGAATTCTTTATTATTTTGTCCCTTACTTCATAACATGTCTTAGCATAGGTTGTGGTTAGTATGAACTCCAAAACAATCAGAATTGTTACTTTAAAATAAAAAATGTGTCACAAGCTCAGGAAATCCTAGTAGTTTCTACAAGACAAAGTTTTCAGTTTTTTATTAAAATATTGAATGAAAGGAGCCACACAGGCTAACCAAAATATGCCTTTGTGTTCTAGTACAGTAAAGCACTTTTATGCACATACTGGTAGGTGCTTAAATACAAAGCGAGAGTATCAGCAGTTACTCTGATGGCACAGCATCTCACTGAGGTGAATTGTGAAATATATGCCAGTCAGATGTTGACATATATAGCACTGTCATCTTGACTGTTGTCTTGGTTTCATCCATAGAAAACCTGACATTACCCATAAGCAACACTCTGAACATCGTCCAGTTTCTCTGCCTAATTGCCGCCGGTTGGCTTCATCCCATGTTATTCCACAGATTTTGTTCTGGGGGGAGGGATGTGCAGAAGAGACCATAGTGGGGAAGGAAAATCTTACTGTGCATGTGGACTGCTACCCAGTCTTGAGATAATTGTATATGTTTAAACATAAATTGAATGTCTGTGAAATAATAAACAGTGGCTTGGTATGTGCATAATTTCTGTGTGGGGATGCTGTTTTCTAGTTGACAACTTACTAGCACAGACTTTTTTTTTAAAGGGGGGGGATATAAAATCATGACATGATGAATGTATAGTAAAATTAAGCAGTACCCTCAAGTAAAAGGAAATACTAGGAAATGTAGGTAAATTACCTAATGAAAGAGCTGTGTGAGGCATTGGTCTATCAGAAACTTTTGTCAGTATTTCATATTTGTCAGTTAACAAATTAAGTAACACGAAAGCTTCGCTATCACACTTCTCAGTTTGTTACTAGTGAAATAATAATAGTCATCTAAGCTTTATTCAAAATGAAAGGTACATTAACAGTTTGAAAACAGATGTATTTCACAGAAATCCTGCAAAATCCTCCAAACTATCAAAACATGCAATGGCTTTCCAATATTTGTATCCTGAAAATTAGTAGCAAATTCATCTTGCAAGTTGATCTTAATAGATGACAAAATTTTAATGTCAATTTAAAATGAACAGTAGATTTAAAAAAATTACTTCATAGGTAACCCATTTATTATAACATAAAAGGTATTTTGGATCACAGTTCATTACATTATTTCAGTTGGCAGTAAATTAATATGAAAAAAATGTGTTGCTGTTGAAATGTTATGCTGGAGTTAGTGCACATCCCTGTGCTTCTAGAAACACTGCAATTGAATTTTTGACTGCCACGTGTCCTTCTAGTTGAAAGTCATTAAAGTTTTCATAGGCTTGTAAGGTCCTCTTTACCAATGCAATCTTTAGAAGTTTGAATTTTCTTTAAAATGTGATGCCCAAAATTGGACATAAAATGTGTGATGGGATCTACCAATTTAGAATAAAATGAGGTGAATACTTACCTTGGGTCTGAAAATTTACATTTCTATGAATACATTTGCTTTTTTTTTCCCCCAGCCACTTCAAAATACTCATCAGTATGGAATCAACTGTTCAGAAGTCTTGGTCACAAGATTCTCCCACAATACCTTGTATGTGATCTTTGTTTCCTAAGTATGAAAATTTTATAGCTATCTTCTAATGTATTAACCATCCACCTTTATCACAGAATGCTCACAATATATCATAGAAGTTACTATTTAAAAAAAAAATTAATCTGGCAAGTCTTGTTCCTGATAAACCCATTGTGAATTCTAATTTAAAAGTTTTTTTTTCCAAAATATTTTTTAATCCACCTCTTTATAATATGCTGCAGAATTTTCCCATGCATTAATCTTAGATTGACCACTGTAAGTTCCCAGTATTTTAATAATAGTAATTTATAATTTATTAAATTTATATGCCACCTGACTCCCACCAATTGTGTAGGTTTAATTGATTTAATTGGAGTTGTTAAATACCATTCTTTCCTGCACTTTTTACCAGCTCTCTGATAGTAAATTAATGACAGCAGTTTTGGTTTCAAAATTTATTTCAGTGACCTTGTGCTATTTAATGACTGCAATAAAGTTATTTTATTTCAGTGAAATAAATATGTGTGCAATTCTCTTGTGACAATATGGTCCTTCATATGTGTTAAGTTCATAGTGGATAACTGTATGTGCGAATGTCCTGGTTTTCATTATCCAGTTTTCTTTCTAACAGTCTTGTCTCCTTCCTGGCTTCTGTGCTTTAGTTACATTTAAAGGAAGATATTCAAGGGAATTCTTGCCACATTTTTTTTCCAGGCTGGGAAGAATGATGGAGAGATATTTTAAAAAAACAATGCCAGTTCTAACATCTTCAATCTCTTCCATCAACAAGATAAACTCAATAACACCACTTAGAGAACTTTGAAAGAAATTATTAGTCACCATGAGAAAAAGGAAACACTAAGAAAAAAAAATAAGGCACTTTCCTTAGGATAAAAGCACATTTGAGACATTGCAAAAAATGGGTTTTTAAATAAATTATTTTTTATTTCATTTAATTTCTAGTAACTTTTATTCCTATTCAATATAAAACTATGCCCCATCCTGTGAATTGCAGCAAGAATAACTGTTGTAAGTATTTAGACATAAGTACTGTCTATTTCATTTCCAGCTACCGTGAGGAATGCAGCCAAGTTTAAGAAATAGGGAAGGCTGAGCAGGATAGTAGATGGTGCTATTATCCCTGCTAATGCAATTTTTAAGTCCAGGCACTTTGTCTCCCTGACAAAATAGCTTCATTATAACACTAGTCCAACTGGACAGTGTTAAGTGAATACCTTTTACTAGCCATACATTTTGCAGACTTGTAGAGGATTAAGGGACATATCTTCCCAGGCAGCTGTGTGCCTCTACTTTCTTCCCAAAGTAGATGCTTCACTGACGGATAAAAGGGAGCTGGGAGAATTGAGTCATAATAATACACATTGTACTTTGCATCTACCCAGCATGCTGTTTTTATGTTCATTGGCGTCTTGTGAGATGAAGTATTTTAAGCTGTATTTAGCAAAGTACAGCTATTTTTGTGCTTATTCATGCGCACAATAGGGGAGATCAGGAAAGGATCACAATTCTAGGAAGCAGCATATTGTGTATGGAACTTTGGGGTTCCAAATATTTTAAAAGTATTCTCACCTTTGTTTGATTTGAATTGTTAGTATCTATTTTGTAATTTTGAAACTTAGCATGTACAAACAAACTTTTGTCAAGCTGGAAGTTAATGTCCCCTAAAGTCTAGATAGAAGAGAAGACAGCAAAACTGAAAACCTAGGGGTTTCTTTTTTTGCATGTTCTTATTTCTAAAAATTATTTAATTCAGAATCTTTGAAGCTAATTTCTCTTTGCCAACTGCTGCGTAGCAGCTTCTGGTGTGTGGGTGTATTGCTGTGAATCAGCTAAAAAATACCAATTCTGCCAAATCTAGAAGCATTTAATGACTTCTCCACTATTGTTAAAAGTGTGCACCCTTTCATTAGTAGTCAGCAGAGGTCTTGGATATAATATGTGCATAACTGCAGGGGTGTGAGTGACTAGAGGAAGCAGCCACAGACAAACTCAACTGCTAGGTAATACTCCATACTAAGATGCACAGAATTAACAGAAATCTGGGTGGGCAAGTGGGAGTCGGGGAAAGAAAGGTGCAAAAGCTTGCATTATCAGCGTACACTAGTACCATTTAAATTCAAGACAAAAATAATAAAATTATTTAGGGTTAAGTTTATAAGTCTATGTTTCCAATCTTGCCTTAGCAAGATTTCATTTATTTATTATATCCATAGCGGGTTAGTAAAATACATTTCAACAGTAAGTGTGATGAACTATATTTTATGAAATACCACTCAATTTCTTTGAAAATAAAAGAGGTTTTAATCAGTTCAGTGTCCAAGATGAGACTAATAAATTCTCTGTATCATCTCGTATTTTTCAAGTAATTGAGTAAACAATAACAACAAGAATTATATAATGATTATAAAATATCAAAAAATTTTGAGGATCACATCAAGTCAGTAGCACAGTGCTTGTGGAGGCCATACAAGGATATAAAACAGTGATGGCTAACCTTTTTGTTCTCGTGTGCTGAAAGTGGATGCAGTACACAGCGCATGCATGTGCCCACACCTATAATACATTGCGTGCACAACACCACCTGCGTGCCATGTCCCCTCCGTGTGCGACCCATGCTTGTGCTGCCCCTGTGCATTTGTGTGACACACACACACACACACCATTTGGGGCTTAGCAGGTCTCCCTGATGCCTCCTAGGACCAAAAACAGGGCACTGGAGGGGGCACAAGGTGGCGCGCAGCACCCCCCATGCCCGCCCATGCCCCCATTCATTTGTGCGCTGTTACAGGTGTTATGTCTGCATTGTATGTATTATGTATTAATAAATCTTCTAGGAGGCCAGCAACAGCCTATGCTGAGCCCTGATTGGCTAGGGCGCAGCATAGCCTGTTGCTAGCCAGCCAACGCATTCTGATTGGCCGAGGTACTGCGTCAGCAGTTGCTGGATGGTACCCGGCCTCCCATTGGTTCCCTGCTATACAAATGTCATATAAATACCTTGGCGCGGATTTTGCCTCTTCAAATCGCTGTCATCTGTTCTGTTGTACAATAAACCTTGCTGTTTGGAAGTCCTGGCTCTCGCGTCTTTTCTCCAGCCCTCGATCTTCAAAAGTATGCAGTTTTATTCCATTCTAGCATTCATCTCCATTGTTCCGTGATACATTTCCTGCCTCTCTAGGATTTACCTTTATCTGCTCCTGTGAGGCACTTCCTGTTGGATGTATATAGCTATATTCTCAATGGCTTGTATAGTGTTTTAACTGCATTTTGATTAAACAACACGGGCTGCAGAGACCCAAAAATCAGCTGGCCACATGCACAAAAATCAGCTGGCCACATGCACATACACAGTGAACCTCAGCTGTGGCAACGGCTCACGTGCCATCAGAGAGGTCTCCACGTACCACCTGTGGCATGTGTGCTGTAGGTTTGCCATCACGGGTATAAAACATCAAATACATTAAATGGTTTAATATCTTCATTCAAAGAAACTACATTTTATTACATAGAACAAGGAGGTCTTAGTTGGAATATGCAAGAATGGCGATGATATGCTGGGGGGAAATTATGTGTATCATATGATCTATTACTTATCTCTAGTGTGCTTCTCTCAGGAACAGTAAGACAGAGTTAGTTTGATGCAATGGCTAGTCCAGCTTCAGCTGGGAAAACTGATTTGGGGTCAGTTAATTTATTTCAGCCTAATCTACCTCATTTGGTGGTTGTGGGGAAAAATAGGTGGTAATGAGATAGATACAAGGTAATGAGCTTGTAGATACAAGCTCATTACCTTGAGCTTGTATCTACAAGATAGGATATACATGTAAATAATGAATAAAGTGTGATTCAACTGGCCATTTTCATGATACTGGAGAAGCACTAACAAACAAAAACAAAGAACGACATAAAACACATACAACCATCTTCCATTTCATATAATGTGTCATTTGGTTACAAGATTTTGTGGGTCCTTTCCATGGTCACCACTTACAATTATGTATCGAATCACAAAT